GCCACTGCACTCCAGTCTGGGTGAAAGAGTGAGACTCCAACTCAAAAAAAAAAAAAAAGACTGAGGGACATTATGAATATCTTATCACCCCTCTCCCAGCCAAGAAACAGAGGGTCCTCACCTCCACCTGCTTTCTTTCTGTTTACAGAAAAAATACTCTCCACAGGCCAGATTTCATAGTGAAAATGAGAAGCAGAAACTAAATGGCTCAGGTAAGTCAGACCCATCCAGAATTCCCAGAGTTCCCTCTGGCAAGCTCCATGAAGCACACCCCTTAGCCACCGTTTTATTGAATCCCACTTGGCTGCACAACTGGTTTGGTTTCCTCCTTGCAGCAAAAGTTTTGGCACCATCTGGGTTCAAATTCCGGCTCCACTGCTAAGTAGTTATGTGATCTTGGGCAGGTCACTTGAGCCTTATTTTCCTCAACTCTAAAACGGGCACCGCCATAGCTTGATCAAAGAGCTATTGAGTGGATTAAATGATGAGAGGAACTGTAAATTGGATATAATTTCATCCTCTGAAGAAAGGATACAAGATAGTGAATGCCAAATGTCTGGTATCATGCCTGGCACTCCTGATGGCGGGTTGTTGACCAGAGGCACAATCAGTCTGGCCAATCGGTGAGGCCCCCAAAGATCAAGTGTCACTTCGGGACCCTGGGTAGTGTCTGAGGAGCAGAGGAGTGCAGGGACTTCCTGGTCACAGCGAAAGCTGGGCCTGAGCAGTGGCCAAGGGAACGCTTGGCCAGCAGTTGGCCCAGGAGGCACCAACGCTGGAGAGGACAGAGGAGGCAAAGGGAGGGAGGGGGTACTGTGTGGCTGAGACCCCAACAGTCTAACTGGAGTCCCTGGCCCACTCAGGCACAACCTTGAACAGAGGCCATCCAGGGGTCTCTAGATTTCAGGGGCCCATGTTTCGAGTTTCGGGAGCTGAGACCTGATTGGAAAGCCACATCACCTCCCTGAATCCCAATTACCTCATCTCTAAACTAAGGGTCACACCTACCCTTCTGGGCTGCTGTGAAGAGTGAGATAATAAAGAGGCAGCAGGGCAGAGGGGCTGATGTCTGGGGTTGGGCCACCTGAGTTCATATCCCAGTTCCACACTGTGTGCCTTCAGAAAAGCTGCTTAACCCCTTTGAGCCTCAGTATCCTCTCCTCTGTGAAGTCGAATGCTAAAAGGCCCTACTTCATAGGGTGATGAAGATTGAATGAAACAGAACATAAAGCACTCCATAAACATTAGTTTCTGTTTTAGAAGAAGCTTAGCATGAGACCAACAGAATAGGTCATCAAAACTCAGCTTCTTGTATCTTCCAAAACCACCTGGTTGACCTTGCGCCTCCCATCTCTGATTCCCACACAGAGAAATCGATCTTGTGGGGTTCCACAAGCCTCTAACCCTCCACCTTCTTCCCCAGCAAAGTCCCCTGTCTCTCAGTGCCACCCACCCCATGGTGCTGGGGACTTTTTTTAGGGGAGCAGTATATAGTGCTTGTTCTGTGCCAACCACTGTTCTAAACCAAACACACACACACAGAGAGAGAGAGAGAGAGAGAGAGAGCGAGAGTGCTGGTTAAGCTCATAACCCTGTGAGAAAAGTACCACGGTAGTCCCCATTTTACAGATGAGGAAACTGAGCTCTGCAAGGCCAGGTAACTAAGTCGTGGGGTCACACAGCTATCGATTGGTGGCGCTGGGACCTGATCCGAGGTATGGCACTTCAGAACCCCACACCTGCCGGTAACATTCCAGGGCTAGAGAATGGAGAAAAGCAAGTGACAGACCGAGATGGAGGTCAGGCCACTGCGTTCGGGCCTTGGCCCAGGGACCCGGGGCTCGGAGTCCTCCCGCCAGACGCCCCAC